CGCCTCTAAACACGGACAGCCAATCATCTCTCTCTTACCACAGAAACTAATGAGCTCGCACTCAGAGAAGCTCCTGGAGGTGGAGCTGGAACTTCGTTCTCTCCGCGTGCTCAGAGATGAGGTGGAGAACCTGAGAGGAACGCTGGAGAACGTCCGGACGAGACTGAACGCTCTGGAACAGGGGGGACGCAGCGGGACCGGGTCCACAACACACACTCTGGGTCAGAACACACACACAGGAAACGGGACTGGGAACCAGTTGTAGAGAATTAGTTGCAGAGGTGTGGGGACTCAAACACAGTTAATCTGTAACTCATTGCTAATATTCATCTCTCCACAGCTTCCCTGGAGACTCAGCTAAGTGTCCATGAGATCCGATTGGCCGACATGGACCTGCGTTTCCAGGTGCTGGAGACAGCAAGCTACAATGGGACTCTGATCTGGAAGATTCGTGACTACAAGAGACGGAAACAGGAAGCGGTAGCTGCAAAGACACTGTCCTTGTACTCGCAGCCATTTTACACCGGATACTTCGGGTACAAAATGTGCGCCCGCGTCTACCTGAACGGAGACGGCATGGGCAAGGGAACGCATCTGTCGCTGTTTTTTGTGGTGATGAGGGGCGAGTACGACGCACTGCTGCCCTGGCCCTTCAAACAGAAGGTACAGACCGCTCACTGGCACTTTGACCAGGTGTTCTCCAACAGAAGTCTCATGGATTCAAACAGGTTAAAGTTTCTGTTGATGCTGACAGACCCGTCTGTCTCCCTGTCTGTCTGTTCATCCATCAGGTGACTCTGATGCTGATGGACCAGGGACCGTCCAGGAAACACTTGGGGGACGCCTTTAAGCCTGATCCAAACAGCAGCAGCTTCAGGCGTCCTGCAGCAGAGATGAACATCGCCTCCGGCTGCCCTCTGTTTGTGTCTCAGAGCGTCCTGGAGACCGGCAGCTACATCAAAGACGACACCATCTTCATCAAAGTGAGGACACACAACACCTCCTGCTACTCCTGCTTCTCCTCCTTCTCCTCCTTCTGTCCCTCCTGCTGCTCTGCTTTACATCATATTACAGTCATTTGGTAGACAGTTATTTCTAATGTAGCGCTCACTGGTGCATTCAAACTTGAGAGGAAGAAGACCTAGATATGGGGACTAGTTACAAAGGGACTAGCAACAGGGGGAGTAGTTAGAGAGGGATTAGTTACAAAGGGGCGAATTATGGGGGGTTAGTTGCAGTTGGACTAGTTACAGAAGGACTAGTTACGGCAGGCTAATTACAGAGGGGCTAGTTATACAAGGATTAGTTACAGAGGGACAAGTTACGGAGGGTTTAGCTAGAAAGGACCAGTTATAGAGGGCATAGTTACAGAAGGACGAGTTACAAAAGGACTAGTTCTAGAGGGAGTAGTTACAAAAGAATTAGTTATAGAGGGACTAGTTAAAGAGGGTCTAGCTGGATGTCTGGTTTACAAACTAATCTCTGTGTTGACTGGTTTGATCGGCAGGTTACCGTGGATACCTCTGACCTTCCTGACCCGTGACGTTGCGACCTCTCTGACCTCTGACCTTGCTGGTCTGAGATCAGCTCACCTGTCCATGCCCAGTAAAGCAAAGGATGATGGGAAGGATCAGTCACAATGGAGATGGCTTGTCTATCTGAGAGCGATGCTGACAGCAGAGAAGAAGAATCAGAGAGGAAGCAGCCAATCATAGTGAACTTTACGGAGACCAGAGGGCGGGTCCTCTTCTGATTGGCTGCTGGACTACAGAGCTGTGTGTGTGTATGCGTGAATGTGTGAATGGATCAGTGTTGCCATGACATCAACATGGTGATATCACTCAGAGCCAACATGGCCACCGCAGCGAGGACGTTGTTGCTGCTCATTACTGATGCCGTGCATCAAGCTTTACTTCCTGTTTATTACCTGTTTACCAAGGCATGCTGGGAAATCCACTGCAGCCACAGAGGAGCTCAGAAAACCAGTACACACCAGCAGGATCCAGTGCAGAAACATTTTTTATTAAAATGTACCCAGTCCAAACCAGGGATGACCATAAGACCTAGTACAAACCAGAAAAGACAATACGACCCAGTACAAGCCAGAGAAGACCAAAAGACCCACACTAAACCTGGGACAACCATAAGACCCAGTCCAAACCAGGGACGACCGTAATACCCAGTCCAAACCAGAGATGACCATAATACCCAGTCCAAACCAGAGATGACCATAAGACCCAGTCCAAACCANCCAGGGACGACCGTAATACCCAGTCCAAACCAGAGATGACCATAATACCCAGTCCAAACCAGAGATGACCATAAGACCCAGTCCAAACCAGAGACTACCATAAAACTCATTCCAAACCAGAGACGATTGTAAGTCCCAGTCCAAACCAGAGACTACCATAAGACCCAGTCCAAACCAGGGACTACCATAAGACCCAGTCCAAACTAGAGACGATTGTAAGACCCAGTTCATATCAGAGACAATAAGACCCAGTCCAAACCAGAGACAACTATAAGAAGGGGTCCAAACCAGAGATGACCATAAGACCCAGTCCAAACCAGAGACTACCATAAGACTCAGTCCAAACCAGAGACGATTGTAAGACCCAGTCCAAACCAGAGACTACCATAAGACCCAGTCCAAACCAGGGACGACTGTAATACCCAGTCCAAACCAGAGACAACTGTAAGACAGTGTCCAAACCAGAGAAGACCGTAAGACCCAGTCCAAACCAGAGACAACTGTAAGACGGTGTCCAAACCAGAGAAGACCATAAGACCCAGTCCAAACCAGAGACGACCGTAAGACCCACTACAAACCAGAGACAACTGTAAGACTCAGTACAAACCAGAGACGACCTTAGGACCTAGTCAAGACCACAGACGACCAAGACCCTGATTCACAGATCTAAAATTTAACCTGAGGAAGACCTGAATGAAGCCCAAGATGAAGAGAATAATTTAGAAAAGAGATATGATTTAAAGTGACTGTAGTGATTCATAGTTCAGATCTAATTATAGAACAGTAGAATCCAGCAGATTCCCCAGTACAAGGTCTCAGTTTGTCCCAGTATAAGTTCCCAGTTTGTGTCAGTATAAGTTCCCAGTATGTCTGCTGGAGTTCCTCTGTGGCCTCTGAGTTTTTCAGTGTTGACAGAATTCATCTGACTCATTTGATTCATTTGCACAGTTTGAATGTTTGTTAAAGTGTGAAAATAAAATATAAAGAAAACACAATGAATCAGTTTTATTAGATTATATTTACCTCTGCACCAGCGATAGCCGTGGCCGGCGGATCACCACAGCAACCATCTAAAATGTAATGTCAACATTTTAACTCCTTCAACTGCTTACCTTTATAGTGCTTACAAATAACACTTGTCAACACTTACGTTTAACCCGACTTTTCAGCTTCTTTCATCTGTCTTTCACTCCTTTCAGCACTTTGATCTTCACTGACATTTCAACTGCCTTCAGTGCCGTCACTTCCACTGACTTGTGAACACTTTGGGTCACTTGTGATTCTGTGGACCTTTACTACATGTATGGGAGTAATTGCTGAAGTGTCAGTTGAAGTGAAAATACAAGTTAAAATGTCATCGGACGCTTCAACTACTTTAAATTTTTCATACAATACCAAAGCTCACTTCACTTTCTATGTCTCTGCTGTGGGTGGAAGCACTGTGTTTTCGTGTTTGTCTGTCCCATGCTTGTGAACGTGATATTTCAAGTACACCTAAAGGGAATTTCTTCAAATTTGGCCAAAGGTCAAGGTCACTGTGACCTTGTCCGTGTCATTCTGGTGAACAAAATATCTCAAGAACACCTAAAGGGATTTTTTTTTTCAAATTTGGCACAAACGTCCACATGGACTCATCAATGAACAAATTTATTTTTGATGCTCATAGGTCAAAGGTCAAGGTCACTGTGACCATGTCCGTCTCATTCTAGTGAACAAAATATCTCAAGAACACGGGATTCATCAGGATGTCTCAAGAACACCTTAAGGGATTTTTTTTCCTCAAATTTGGCACAAATGTCCACTTGGACTCCTCAATGAACAAATTTGTTTTTGATGGTCAAAGGTCAAGGTCACTGTGACCTTGTCCGTCTCATTCTAGTGAACAAAATATCTCAAGAACACAGGATTCATCAGGATGTCTCAAGAACACCTAAAGGGATTTTTTTTTTCAAATTTGACACAAATGTCCACTTGGACTCATCAATGAACAAATTTGTTTTTGATGGTCATAGGTCAAAGGTCAAGGTCACTATGACATCACTAAAAAGGTTTTTGGTCATAACTCAAGAATTTAAACACTAATTTTGACAAAATTTAACAGAAATATCTCATAATATAAAATAATGAAGCAATGACATTTTATGTTCAAAAGGTCAAAGGTCAACTTCACTGTGACATCATAAACACTTACAAACAAAAAAGATCCCTCATATTTTCTAAGAATTTTAAGACAAAACACTCCTAAATGAGAGGAGCACTTTGATCATAAATGAAGCTGCATGTATTTTGAAAACATTTTTTTAACCCATTGATTATATTATAGTTTACAGAAGTGTTCTTAAAGTCAGAAGCACGTTACAAACACCTCCATCTCAAAAACCCTTAACAGGGGAAAAATTACCAGTGGAATTTCACATCAACAAATATACATGAAGTTTCTTAAAAGTTAGATTTTTACTCTTTAAACTCACCTTAAAATGTGCGGAGACACTGCATCATTCCCTAATAATCTCTTAATTACACGACAAAGAATTCATAATTTAACGTGTTACATGGTTAGAAACTGAGATTTACAGACTGACACCAGGGGGCCGGGCTGTCCCTTTATTTGTTGACATGTCGTGGATCTGTGGGTGGATTTCCCTGGAAATGAAAACCAGTGAAATCAGTGTGGCCAGTAACTGTCTGAAGGAAAGAATGAAAGTAGGACTTGTCTATCTCCAGATGGTGGCAGTGGTGCAACTCTTCAGGGTGCAAGTTGCTCTTCTAGCTCAAAGAAGAAGAAGAAGAAAAACAGGGCCGAAGAAGAAGAGCAGCAGCGGTGTTGTGTCTCAGCGGCTCCAGACTTCCAGACAGCTTTCATCAGAGACTTAATTAAACAACCGGAACCACAACATTTCAGCGGGTTGTCCGTTTGGAAAGAATCGTGACTGTTCAGCGGAACTCGGTGAGTTTACCGGCAGGTTCGGCTCTGTAGAACCGGGGACGGAAGTTACTGAAACTTTACAGGTCATTTAACAGCTGAGCTAACAGGCTAACTGGCTAACTGGGTTTAAATCAGCACGGTAATAATCAGTTGCCTCTGTCTGTGTGTGTGTGTGTGTGTGTGTGTGTGTGTGTGTGTGTGTTCGTTTTTAATGCCTGCACTCTGACATAATTTAGGTTGTTTTTTTGTCCTCAGTGAAGAAACAGTTTCAGACACACTATAACTCATCAAGTCAAATCTCACTAGGCTGCTTAAATATATTCAATGAGATAATTAATAATAATAATTAATATTTTTAGGTTCTAAAATTCATCTTTATGTTTTGTAGCAGTGACGTCACAGCCTCTACATAAGAAAAATATTACATACATTTTTTTAATGTATGAAAATTATCTCCATTATTATTATCTGTTCAGGTTTCTTCACACTTATTTGAGTGACATTTAAAGAGAGAACAAATCTGTCTGAGCTCCTGCTGTGCTCAGGCTGTGATTTGGCTGTGATTTAGGTGTGCTACAGCAGCGGTTCGTCTGCATACAGGTTACGATCCGACTACAATCTGGCTGTAATACGGCTATGCTCTGGCTGCAATCCAGCAGAACTGTGGCTGAGCTCTGGCTGCGGTCTGGTGGAACTGGCTGCAATTTGGATGTAATCTGGCTGCGCTCTGGCTGCATACCAGCTGTGATCTAGGTGTGCTCCTGCAGCGATTTGTCTACATACTTGCTATGATCTGGCTGATATGCGGCTGAGCTCAGGCTGAGTGCCTGCTACGCTCCAGCTGCTTACTGGCTATGATCTGGCTGTAATCTGGCTGGGCTCTGGCTGAGCTGTGGCCGCAATCCGGCAGAATTGCAGCTGTGATATATATGCTATCTGGCTGTGCTCTGGCTGCATACCGGCTGTGATTTAGGTGTGCTCCAGCAGCGATTCGTCTGCATACTGGCTACGATCTGGCTGTAATCTGGCTGCGCGCTGGCTGTTATTTGGCTGAGCTCAGGTTGGGTGCCTGCTATGCTTCGGCTGCGTACTGGCTATAATATGGTTGTGCCCTGGCTGTGACCCAGCTTCGATTTGTCTGCATACTGGCTACGCTCCAGCTACAATCCGGCTGTAATCCAGCTGCGCTCTGGCTGTGACCCGGCTGCCATTCAGTGCCCTTTTACTGTATCTGTCTTCACACACGTCCTCAGTGGACGAACTGAGAGAAATTTCATCATCATCCTCCCTCCTGCTCTGTGATTGGTCGACTGGCTGCTCGGTGGATGTTTGAGGTCAGTAACTGTTTGTTTGTTTTTTTGTTTTCTCAGATCAAATGTTTCTCCTGAGACGAACTGCCGCTCTGCAACCTCGTATCTCCAGACTGCTTTCCTCTTTACCCACTTTAACTCTGTACACTAAGGTAACAAACCCTCGCATCTCCAGACTGCTTTTTCCTCCACCCACTCTAACTGTTTACTAAGGCAACAAAACCTCATATTTCCAGACTGCTTTCCTCTTTACCCACTCTGACTGTATGTACTAAGGTAATAATAAATCATTTTCACTGTGTTAACTCTTCAGTACAATAAAATTATTGATCGTTGTCTCTGTAGGATCCATGTCCTCTGTGTGATGAAGCTAAAGAAGAGCTGGAACCTTTCAAACACCGGGTGAGACTCGACACACGTTCACAAATTTAAACTCGGTATTACCTTAGCGCCACCTGCTAGGCAACAAAGCCAAATGTCACCTGAGTCCTCTACTCCATTAAATCAAAAGCGAATAGATATAAGAGACAGGAAGGCATCTTCTTCACTGATCTTTTAAATCGTCTCTAAATGTTTCATTTACAGAAAGTTCAGGAAGAAGATTCAGTTTCTATTGAAGTAAAAGTTTTATATTTAAGTCCAACAGAGAGACATTCCTCTAACTATCCGATCTGTCTCTGTCTCTACAGTTTGTCTTACAGCAGGTGGACATCACTCTTCCAGAGAACAAGGCGTGGTTCGACAAGTACAGGTGGGACATACCTGTCTTCCACCTGAATGGACAGTTTGTGATGAAACATCGAGTGGACATGGTGCTGCTGGACAAACTGCTGCGGGACGCTGAGACGCAGAAAACATGACAGTTTATTATCTGTTTGACTGAAAAAGATCAAATAAACAGAACTGATCGATAAATGTGTCTTTACATGTTTGTTATTTAACATTGATGAGTCAGGTTTCAGCGAGTCAGAGTAGAGGATCATTAGTGATGTCACTGAGATGTCGATTTAAAAACAAGTTATGAAGATTTTAAGTGTAAACTCACTGATCTTTTAACAAAAGTTTAGTTTGCTGTCAAACAAAAAACTGAGACAAACTGTGCATTTTATTTGTGAAAAATCTTTAATATCTGTGATTGCAGCACACGAAATAAACAATATTCTTTTATAAAACGTAAATATAAACATGGGGCTGAAATAATAGGATGGAATCAAAAAGAAAAATACAAAGAAATTAATTCTGCTGCTGAAAATAACACCTGAGTCACCCGATGCTCCGAGCTCATCAATATTTAACTTGCTGATGGTTCGGACTCTCTGGCTGTAGGCCAATCACAGCCCTCCTCCTCCTGTGTGACCTGGAAGTGCTGTGAGGTGGTGTAGAGTGTGCTGGTTGTCACAGAGACGGTCAGGTGTGTTTTTTTGGCGAGGTGAAGGTGTGTTGATGGCGTCCAGCATCAGCAGAGCAGAAGATGTTCAGTTTGCTCTGCGGAGAGCCAAGAAAAAGATCAGCAACCTGCAGCAGCAACTTGACAACAAGTAAGAGACACAGAGATACAAGAGATAAATATGTCTTTATATTTGTATCTGTAGCAACTAAAAAAGTATGTAGTTAGGCTGAAGGTGTAAATGTTCGGTTCCTTTAGTTAAAAGTGTGAACATTGATCCTTAAGAAATGTGAATGGTATGTTTCCTTAGTTTAAGTTAAAGGTTTGAAAATGTTCTTCCTTCATTTAAATGTGTGAATGTTAGGTCCCTCTGACGTGTAAACATTCTGTGATCATTTGGTTCCCTTACTTGCAGGTGTGAATGTTTTGTTCCCTCAGTAATAGGTGTGAATGTTTGGTTCCCTCAGTTAAAGCTGTGAACATTTGGTTCCCTCAGTTATAGGTGTGAATGTTGGGTTCCCTCAGTTAAAGGGGGGAATGTTTGGTCCTTCAGAGCTGTGAACGTTCTGTTCCTTTAGTTTAAGGTGTGAACATGCGGTTCTTTCAGTTAAAGGTGTATATGTTTCATCCTTATGATGTGTAAACGTTCTGTGAACATTTGGTTCCCTTACTTACAGGTGCAACTTACAGGAATCAGGTTTTCTTTCCTCAGTTATGAACGTTTTGTTCCCGTAGGTAAGGGCTTCAACGTTTGGTTCTATCAATTAAAGGTGTGAATCTTCTGTCCTTATGTAAACGTTCTGTGAACATTTGGTTCCCTCAGTGAAAGGTGTGAAAATCCGGTTCCCTAAGTTAAAGGTGTGAGCGCTTGGTTCCTTCAGTTAAAGGTGTGAATGTCTTGTTCCCTCAGTTAAAGGTGTGAAAGTCCGGTTCCCTAAGTTAAAGATGTGAACGCATGGTTCCTTCAGTTAAAGGTGTGAATGTTTGTTCCCTAAGTTAAAGGTGTGAATGTTTTGTTCCCTCAGTTAAAGGTGTGAACGCATGGTTCCTTCAGTTAAAGCTGTGAATGTTTTGTTCCCCCAGTTAAAGGTGTGAATGTTCTGTCTTTATGATGTGTGAACGTTCAGTAAACATTTGGTTCCCTTACTTTCAGGTGTGAACATTTGGATCCCTTCCTTACAGGTGTGAGGGCTTTGTTCCCTCAGGCAAAGGTGTGAATGTTTGGGTCTTTAGATTATTGTTACAGGTTCCAACGTTCGGTTCTTTCAGTTAAAGTAGTGAACGTTTGGTTCTCACTGTTAAAGGTGTGAATGTTAGGTCCTTATTAGGTGTTAGCATTCTGTGAACATTTGGTTCCCTTACTAACAGGTGTAAACATATTGTTCTCTCAGTTAAAGCTGTGAGCATTTGGTTTCCTCAGTTAAAAATGTGAATGTTCGGTTCTTCAGAGGTGTGAACGTTTTGTTCCTTCAGTCAAAGTTAAAGTTGTGAATGTTCGGTTCTCTCAGTGAAAGGTGTGAACGTTCAGTAAACATTTGGCAACATTTGAATGTTTTGTTCCCTCAGTCAAAGGTGTGAAAGTTGTGATCCTTAAAGGGCCAGTGTGTAATATTTGGCATGGTTTATTGTCAATCTGAATCTGAATATTCTACCCATTAATATGTTTATATAAGTGTATAATCGCTATAAAATAAAATTTGTTTGGTTTTCGTAGCCTTATAATTATGCTTTTATATATTTAT